TGGGACAGAAAGAGGAGAGAGACATCATAAGCTCTGCTTAAACAATCAGCTCAAGTTGATAGCTCAATTCGAAGCCAGTGGTATACCTATTGTTGGAGTCAGAGTAGAGAATTATGGAGGAGGAACATGCTCAATCTGAGAAAGCAAAGCATGAGTTGGTAGTTGGTTGTCTGCAGTGGGAACTAGAGCACAGGAACTGAGGAACATCAACTCGACTTTGATGTAATTGAAACAAATAAAGGCCAAAGCATCATCAAAGGCATACCTCTTTCCAATGCTCGAGCAAGACTAGTAGGAATTGGTGGGGGCGAAGGCTGTGCATCTTGATGGTGTGCTTTGGCGTCGTCAAAGTGACCATGGGCTGCACCTAGAAAGAGAAGAGAAACATCAGCTCAACTTGATAGCCTCGAATTGGATACAGGTCAGAAAAGGTGAATGGTCATGCCAGGTGGTGGAGGAGGGGGAGACATCATTGCTTGTATGCATAGTTGATCTAGAGCATGAATCATGTTGTTGATCTAGGTGTAATGATTTAGAAACTGTGGCTCCAGAAGCAGCACTAGGTAGTCGGCACTTTCAACAGTTGTCCTCATGCTCCGGAGCTTTTTAGAAAAATAAGAAAAAAAGTCAAATGAACTAACTACCCACTTCAATTAGTGCAGTGAAAACACACACATATAAATACCTTTCTCGGACGAATTCAACTCAATTATTTTCTTAGAAGACGCCATAAAGGAAGCATTGCCCTCTGAAGCAATCTTCCTAGACATTCTCTGACTTGGGAAATGGCTAGAATCGACAAGAAAGCATCTAGTTCATCCAGCACCAACAATATTTTAAATAGCGGTCTATGATATTTAGTTGCAACCTCCTTCAAAAACTATAGAAAGCTATAGCGGGCTATAACAGAAGCTATTCATTTTGTAGTTTTATAGAAACATGAAAATTCTTAATGAATTATGCACAAAAGCATTTAACTAGATAAAAAATATGAATATAAATACTCAAATACATGTATAATATCTAGGAGAATATGTTTCTAAGTCTATTATGTTGGAACTAGTGGTTCTAAACAAGAGAGAGTCAGCGATGGAGAGGGGACACACTAGGGTTTGGGAAGAAACAAGCAAATAGAGGCAATTGTTTAGTTTCATGGGAAAGGATACAACGCCCGCTTGAGTATGGTGGTTTGGGGATCCGTAACCTTGAAAAACTTGGATGGGCTCTAAGGATCCATTGGCTTTGGGCCCAAAAAATAGATCCCTCAAGACCTTGGGCTGGTTTTCAAGTTTAAATTCCTCAGTGCGCAGAAGCAATGCTTCGCTTGGCGGTGGACTGTATTGTTGGTAATGGGGAATCGATTTTATTCTGGAAGGACAGGTGGCTGAACGGCAGAACCATTACTGAAATCACCCCAAATATGATCAAAGATGTTCTCAAAAGGTCGCTCAATAGAAGGACAGTAGCTGAGGCTCTAAATAATCAGAGATGAATGGCAGATATCAAAGGTGCGTGTACTGTCCAAGTCTTGGAAGATTATCTCAATATTTGGGATCTAGTGGAGGGCTTGACCTTGTAGCAGGAAGTACCTGATCGGTTTAGATGGAAGTTAACTCAGTCAGGTACATACACCAGCAAATCAGCGTATGCTGCTTTCTTTGTTGGGACCATCAAATTTGCACCATGGAAAAAGATTTGGAAGAGTTGGGCTCCACTCCGGTGCAAGTTCTTCATTTGGTTGGCTATCAACAATTGATGTTGGACAGCAGGCTGACTTGCTAAAAGAGGCTTGCCCCACTCGGAGGCTTGTCCTTTTTGTGATCAGGAGGAAGAAACCTTACAACACATCCTTGTGGGCTGTGTCTTCACCAGGCAGATTTGGTTTTCAATTCTCCAAGCCCTACATCTACCTGCTCTAGTGCCCTCAACGTCAGACACCAAATTCTCTAGCTGGTGGAGGAAAGGTCTTCGGCTTATTTCAAAGGATTTGCAAAAGGGTTTCAACTCTTTAGTTATTATGGTAGTTTGGGAAACCTGAAAACACATGAGCTCTTGTATTTTCGAGCACGCTAGGCCTAGCATTCCAGATCTGCTCCGAGTGATAGCTAATGAATGCAGTTTTGGGGGGTTGGCTGGAGCTTCTAAACTCCAAGAGCTCCTTGCCCAGTCGCTGTCCTTGGCCGCTTAGATTGTGTCTAGGTTGGTCAGGGTATTAGTTGTTGCCTCTTTTATTTCTCTGTCAGAGTTTGCTTCCTGTTGGTGGTGTGTGGGTGGGTGGGTGGAGTTCTTTGTACTTGGGCCGGTTCCTGCGACTCTTTGTTTCTTTCTTATTCTTAATAAAATGGCATGTAGCTCTCCTGTGTTGTTCGAAAGTGGAAATGAGTGGGAGGTGAGGTCCCTTGCTCTCATGCCCTTGGACACTTAGGCAATAGTTATTTGCAAGTGACCCCTTGGTGGGGTTGGATTTTTTTTTTATCATGGTGGGGGTTCAATTTCAAATGACACTGCTCTAGCTACTAGTTGGGCCTCTTATAGAGTGAGAATTGACCCATATACCTCATGGGCTCCCCAACATCGCTCCCGACAAACACTTCAACAGGAAGGGCTTCGCCAACACTTCAACGACTACAACAACTCACCACACCAACACTTTGATGCGATGGGCCCATCATCTTTGGCGACAACAATTACTAATCTTTGACGTCAACAACTACAGGGGCTTCTTCGACATCTCTGACGTCAACACTTACAACATATCTTCGTCAATATCTTTGGCGACTACAACAACTTGCCTCCGCCAAAACTTCTGCATGAGGGGCTTCGCTGACATCTTCGGCATCTACACCAACATCGCCTTCGTCAGCACCTTCGGCACCAGGGCTTTCGCCAACATCTTTAGCGTCCACAACGACTCGCCTCTTCTAACACTTTGGCATATGGCGATTCGCCAACATCTTCAGCAGCTACGACGACTCGTCTCCGCCAACACTTCAACAGGAGGGGCTTCCCTATCATCTTTGGCCACTACAACGGCTCGAGAGCCTTTGTTGACACCTTTGGCATCAACGTTTACGATGACTAGCCTTCATCGCTGAGTTCGAGGGGCCACATCAACTCCTTTGGCATCGAGGACTACTTGACCTTCCTCGACCACTTCGGCTCGAAGGGCTCATCGATGACTTTAGTTTTTCCACTGGAGGTTGCGCTGACTGTTAAAGCCAAACCAGAACCCTTCAGCAAACAAGGACATCAACTTGAATATGCAACCAAGCAAGGTAATTCACACTGTTTTATACGGTCCAAACTGAGCCGCATCATTGCACTTCTGATTAATTCCATTGGGGGTTAGGAGGGGGAAGACCTTGCTTGTTCCTTTGCCCCCTTAAAATTGTTATTGTTTAAATGTGTTACTAACTCTGGCAGCCTACTACAAATGTCGCCATCTAGTCATTTGCCCTAAGATTTTTTTTGTTTTGTTTTTGGCAGCCATGATGCGTTGGAGGTCTCAGGAGTCTCACTGATGTACTGCTCATGCAGGGAATGATTCAAAGAGGCCTCGAACAACCAGGAATTTTGGTGACGTAAGTCTTGGATACTGTTTTGTGTATTCATTCTTTGGACTGCACGTGAAAATTAAGTAGAGCTATGCATAAATCGGGTGGAGCTCCAGAGTTTCATATGGAGGTTATTTCTAATGCATCCTCTCACGAGAGCATCTCAGGTGCTCCTAGCACCTAAGAGTGCTCCGGTGTTCCTGACCACAAGATACACCATCAAATATGTACAAAAAAATCCAACAAAAATATGAATAAATAAATAGATCATTCATATATTTCTTGTTTTTGTTTGATTTTCCTTCCTGGCTGGCGGCTTTGCATTGGTATCTTCAGTTCTTGGCAGAACATTTCAGAAGATACCACTCCAAATCAAAAATTGTCAAGTTTATCTGGGATTAAGAGTGATAGAGGTGAAAGATTTTAAGGACACGGATTCTGATTTTTTTTAATTGCACATATTTTCGTTTTCCTGGACTAAGGGGTTCCTCTTGCAAGATGTCGGTTGTCAGTTAATTAGCTGAACATGTTCCCTCTTAAAAAAACAGGAAAGAAAAGCTGAACATGTATGATTGCGATGAACAAGAAAACTCCAGTGCGGCCACAGTTTGACCCTGTACAGATGTTCAGGTGCCATGCCATGGTGCAGCCACCAAAAAGGGCAATTCAAACTCCTAGGAACTGACTTTAGATGGCTAATCGACAATTCCTCCTGGCTGGTACACACAATAGCCTTGCCTTGGCTCCATGAGTTCATGCCTTCATGGTGACGATGACGGCACGCGACGCACGCTGCTTGCTCCCCTGGCTTCTGCTTGTCAGTTGTCATGGCAGCTCTTAGTCTAGGACAGCGACTCGGCGGCAGAGGCAGCAGCGCGCGCGGGGCCGGCTGAGGAGACGCGTCATGGCGCGTTCCATGCTAGTGGCCCTTTTGACGGATTACTGACTGGTACACCAGGAGCACGACCATAATCAGAGTCCGTAGCCATGTACCAACACAAAACCACATTTGCAGTGAACAGCTTTGTTACTGAACTGAACATCTTCTCAGACAAAAGACCTCTGAACAATTGCCGCGGTAGCGATGTGGAATCACCCTACTTTTCTCTACTCTACCTGCTCTCTGCTCAATTCTCATCATTCAGTCACGAAATAAAAACAAAGAGCCCAACTTTCAGAACAAGATTTTTTTTTGAAGACACAACGAGAAGTTTAGATACTACGTACATTGTTTGAATGCTATACCACCATCCAAGGCAGCACTTTGCCTTGTGACGATCTACCGGTGACGGTTTTTTTAAACTTTACTATATTCTGTACCAAAAATTAAAGAGATGTTCAATCGGTCACCAAACAGCTCCATTATTTAAAAGGGAAACGTAAGACAACGAGAAATGCATCGTTAGTCATCTCACTGGCTTTGCTTCGCCATACTTCATCAGTTATCTACACTAGATCATCCCATTTACGTGCTGTTATTGCACCCAAGATCACTTCTCTTCCAGCGGCCAAAGCCACACCTGCAGATGTGTTCAGGGACTGGGCCCTTGTCCCCAGCAACCCAAGGATGCTCTGCCGCAGTCTGCAGGGTGATACGTTCCCCATGATCTGCAAATCAATCACACAAGAAAACAAAGAAGGATGTCCATTAGAGCACATCTGGCACCAAAACTCTGATATATCGAAATCATATGAGGATACGTTTACTTAAAAAGAAAGGGAACCTTTGCAGAGAAGCCTAAACCCCCAACTTGCACAGGATCATTGGTTATCTATTCGGTGGCAACGACTAAAGTGAGCTTCATGCATTCACCTTAAAATCAAAAGGAAATGAAGGAAACATTTTTGCACCTTATCATAAGTTTCCTGCAATGTATCTCCAAGAAATGGATAGTGCCCAGAAATCATACAATATAAAGTTACACCGACTGCCCAAGTATCAGATGCCCTACCAAGGTATGCTGAACCTGCACTGAGGTAAAGAGAAAAACTTCACCATATTTAGTGAGTCTATATCTGGTAGCCCAACGAACATTTGAGTACTTCTAAATTAATGAAGAATAATCTAGGCTGTTGCAATTCAGTTTATTTGCGATTCTGCGATCATGTCCAGGATATCTTGCTACCCAAAAATCACGGTTCTATAAATTTAGTGATTGACAAATTTTATGTGCAGCATTTTTCTTGATTGAAATATTAGTGAGTCTATAAATTTTAGTTGTACCTTGACAACACTCTGGAGCAGTGAAAACAGGAGTACCAGGAGATCTCCAAAGCATATCATCATCATCCTACATTGTAACTTCGTAAGTATCACCATATCATTTTTTAAGTAAAACACCAAGACAAAAAATTTTCGATAATCCAGAGGAATTCGCCACAAAAGCAAACACATACTTCAAAAAGATCAAGTGGATTTACTTGTGTTTAAGAAATGAAACAAAATAAAATAAAAATGGAACTACTGAGCAACAAAAATGCTTACCAAAAGAATGAGGAAGCATCTTGGTTGTCAACTCAAGCTATCTTTAAAATCCTCAAAAAGACAGAAAGGGAAGATTATCTTTAAAAGTGAAACTTTGAGAAACTTGGAACCTACAGAGCCAAGTTTCTTGATCAGAGTAAGAGCAATTAAGTGATAAAAATCATAATTTAGACAACTATTTTCAAGGATGAGTTCATTCAACTAAAAAAAACATTTTTTTTTTCCTAACAAGAACAATAGAATTTCACTGAAATACACAAAGTTGCAGGATTATGGAAACACCTCAAAAACCTGGCTAACACTGAAATCTCCTATCTTCACATTGCCTGAGCTTGTAACCAAGAGATTGTCTGGTTTGATATCACCATGAATAACATTCTGTGTATGAAAATGACAAGTTTCAGTGTCACATTGAAGCTAGGAAACATGCGGCATAGTGCAAACTGCATAGAAAAACAACCAATCATGAGCACATGGTTACTGGCACATGTAAATAAGTTAAAAAATGGGAGAAAAGAAACATTAGATGGGAGTCTGGGAACTGTGGGATTTACTTTTCTAGGCAAGCATGATCTATCATGCACAGCAGTGATGAATAAACTAAATAAGAATTTTAGCATTGTTGTGAATCGTCGTTCGCATTGGATCTACTGTGCAGGGGATCGCCAGGTGGTGTAACTTCAATTAGGGTATTAGGGTATTACATTGAAATGAGAGAAAAGAAGAGTTGAGAGATATCACCAACGATTTAGAGACTGGAGAGATTATTTCTTGCTTACTTTTATGGAGGATTTGGTCAGACCGGGTCCATCTCTATCTATCGTTATCTTTAACTTCCCAGCCCCTAGTAGAAACTAAAATGGACTCAATATAACAATACTTAACCTTCCTAATCATCTCCCTGAGTCCTAAGCAAAACCAACCTCAACTGTTGTTGCCATATACCACAGACATGGCATTCCCTCAACTATAATGCCTAAACTAATCTGTTGAATGAACCACATTGTTCACCATGTAACATCTAGAAGCATGTTGCTCCAGCCAGCACCCTCTGTAGCAGCTGCTGCTTGCGTCACATACTGCTGCCAGGGTGCAAGCACACAAGAAGCAAATAAATAATCTGCTTGACAGATAGACTGATATTAATGCTTACAACTTTATACAACAACAAAAAACCAAGTTTGATGCATACCATCTTAAATGTCAACTGTGCTTTGCCTAGTCCTTGAGTGAGGACATCATCATATTTTTAGATAAATCCAACGACTACCCAAAAACCAAACGAATAGCAGGCAATTGGCTGTGCTCAAACTTATGGAAGCTGAAATCTCAAGTTCAAGCCTACATATCCAGGACTTAAGTGTATTTATTTATGTTCAGTAGGAAGTGGCTTGCAGAAATCCATTGATCTTCCACAAATCATGAAATGACCATGCATTACAAAACCAAGCCAGTATTTTCCAATGCACTGAAATACTGATTATAAAGCTAAAACAAGATCGGCAAACTACAGTTCAGCCGCAAGCATGGGCTTCAGTTCACGGCCTTTACAAATACAAAAGGAAAAAGGAAGAGGGGGGCGTTTGTAGAAAAGGAAATACAAATGATTTTCCAAAAAAATTGGCACCCTGGAAAATTGTTTTCAACAAGATATACCTCAACTTATCTACCATTGGTTTTCTAAATTGTAAAGTATGACATGGCACAGTATTCACCCAATATACAAGGTAACGGAAACAAATAAAAGACTTAAATCTTACATGAGAATGAAGATACTGAAGACCTGATATTATGTCTCGCACATAATTTCTTGCAGTAGCTTCCTCTAAACCATTATCACAAACAATTTTTCCTTCAACATACTCAAGAACTGGCAATCCAAATGGAAAATTGTAAATGACAACTGTGTAAAATATAGATAAAATTCAAAGAGTTAAATTCATAAAACACCAACTATTTGTGCCAAAGTGTCAAGGAACTACAACTTCTGGGACCAGTTTCACAAAATTGAAACCACTTGAGGCATCAGTTTCACAGGCCAACAATATTTTCCACAGGGCTCACATGTTAGTCGTGTAAGCTGTGTGGACCCACATGTTGATTTTTGTGGCTGACAAATGGGCACAAGTAATTGTAGTTCCGCGAAACTAATCCAAGAAATTGTAGTTCCCTGATAGACACAAATAGCCAGGGGTGGAGCCAGCCCTGTTCAATGCTGTCACATGGACAGCAATGAATTTTTGTGATTTCCATTGTAATTTGAGGTTTACATATGAAGGTGACTCATAGTATAATAGAGGTGACATTAATGTATTTTTAGGCTAGATCCGCCCTAAATAGCTGTAGTTTTGTGAAACTAACTCAATTCAAAATGCCATGTTTACCAATAATATAAAATAAAAAACATAATAATGAAAGCGTAATTACAGACCCATGTAGAATTTATCTACGTTTGGGTCATCAATAACTTCAACAAGATTTACAATATTGGGATGATTTAACATTTTCATTATGGATACCTGTTTCCAATGTCCAATACAGAAAAAAGGGAGCAACCAATTAGAAAGCGTACAAAACAAACAATGCAGTCAATTAAAATAATAAAGAGCATGGTACACTGCAGTGTGCTAACATAGGGCCAGTGACCATGCTTCTACATTTTGACAGGAAATTTCGACCGATTTCTAGCAATGGCTCAACCTCTTCCATTTCCATATTGGTCGTGGCTATCTATTTAACCTCTTGCAGTATCTCAAGACTAATAATGGATTTCGTGACTTAGAAACAGAAACGAAGCTACCATCCAGCATCTTCATGGTAGTTAGCGTGCTAGGAATTCGTCTGGCAAAAATCATATGGGCAGAACTAACAACGTTAGCGGGCGTATAATTTTCAAATAGACAAAAGATACATGAATTTTGTTCCACGCTCCAATGAATCAATTTCTCCTCAACGATTAAATGGGTTTCTATTGCACAATGAGTGCAACGCTAATCAATAGCTGGGACAAAAAGATTCATGGTTAATCAGAAGGAAACAAATACTGCAAATATATGTTGTTCGTCACCATTAAATAAGCAAATGCATTCCTGATATGTGAGCAAGGTACCACCTAATTTGTTTTTCTTCAATCATAAAACAGTGGGTGCCCCACAATGAGATATCACACTGCAAAAGAAACTCTGTTCCAATCGATCTATCTAAATAATTGGACACTAATTCTTTTATCATATTCAAATATTGGAAATGATCAATTAGCATTTCAAATGGTTAGCATGTATTGAGTTTGTGACAGATCCCTAGACAGAAAACATTTTCAAAACATGCAGAACAACTTTGGAAGAGAACTAGGACATGCATGACAAAAAAAAAAAGGAAAGATCTTTATTACATGGACAAAGAAGTTGACAAAGTTACTCATGGCCGAAGAACATCTGTCATGGCGGTTTCTGATCGTACAACATGCACTTTCAGCATCTAAGGCTTATTCAAGACCTGAAAGAGAAGGGCAACAGCTAAAACTCCATCAGTTAGACATCTCACATGTAGCCGAGGCGGTGGTCTCAACTGCCAAAAATAACAGTGCCAAGGCGCGAGACTATAGACTTGACAGCTGGTTACAAATTCAGTCTTGAAGCAAGCAAATTAGCTAGCAGCCAAGCGGCGTGCAGGGTGGTACACATATTAGACAGAAACAAGTATAATTAGTAACTATCATTATTCAATAAGAATACACACACGTTGAAAGCCTGTTTATCATGGAAGGGTTCATTAAAAGAAATATATATTATCGATGAGCTCCGAGAGTAGCAGAAAGCAATACCTTCACTGCATATAGCTTCCCATCTTTCACGTTTCTGTATAGAACCTTTGGAAGCAGCAAAAAAAAAAAAAATAGACATCTATCTGGAGAAATGAAATAATTATTAGCACATCCAATGTATCTTACCACTTTACCATAGCTCCCAGAACCAATCTTTCCCAAGTGAACATATTGATCGACCATCTTATTACAATTTTCATCCTAAACATGGCAAAAGGGAAAAGGTTATTGCAGTGTCCTATGTGAAAGTTAAATGCTCTCATATAACTTGCTACCCTTCATTTAACATCCAAAAGCCAATATTAGAAACTGGCAATAAACCTGGTCAGGCTCTTGGATCCTAGCCAGAACAGTGAAACCCATGCTAAATTTAGTATTGGAATGAAGTCAAATGTTGTACATTTATCTTTTAAGAGACCATATGTAAATTGTAGTAAGATTTTGCTGGGCAAGTAAAATAGGCTATTCCTATCATGCCATTGGAAGGATGGATTAAAATTATTTATTGATTTGGGAAAAAAGACCGATTAATTGTTATCATTGAAAAATGGAAAGAAGATGCATCAGTCGATAACCCATAATTGGTGTTTAGCTTGCTTCCCTGGCATGAGAGGTCCCATGTTCAGAATCCCAAACCTTGGTGTGATGGGTGGATTAAAAAGATATCATTCCAGAAGGAAAGAAATTGATCGAGGCATATCTGGTACAGGCGATGTTTTAGGTTTCTTCGCCCATGGGCGCGCCGTTGGAGCCACGCCAGAAAAGGTGTGAAAAGTTTGATTCATGCATGGCTTAGGAGCGACAAAATGTACAGTTCTCAGTTTTGGAGTGAAAAAATGCATGTCCAGTCTATTTTTTTATAAGTACTGACAAGCATGAATAATAAGGATTACAGAAGGCAACTCATTTTTTTCCGGAAGGGTACTACTGTGATCCTCAGCAGAAAGAACTTCCAATAAGTTGCTCCTTTGATGAAAAAGGTAACCTTAAGCAAGGCCAAATGGTAAGAACATAAAAAATTAATGGGTGGTGTTGGTTGCCTGAGATGAATGGGAAACCAACTTCTTCCGTGCATTCAGGAAATCAACCACGGAGAGGATTATGGTGTAGGCTAGCTTACAAGAAAATGGTGGGCAAGGCTAGGTAAAGCCTCAATAGACAGATCTTCAAATATGGAAAGATAGTTGGACAAAAAAAAAATATTAAGAAAATGGTACCTCAGAGCGAAATACTTTATTAGCCTCTTTAACTGGGACCTCTCTACATGCAAAGCCACTTTGGGCTCTTGATTGTATGATATCTTCAGAACTCTTCATTGGAGGTCCAGTGCCACTTTCATCAAGGTAGTCATTATCATCTCTATCGTAGAAGCTTTTATCAGGGTCGTCTCCATCGAGGAAGCTTGTATCAAGATTATTCCCATTGTAAAAGCTTAAATCAGGATCATCTCCAGTATAGAAGCTTCCATCAGGATCTTCAGCTGATTGATCTTCCAGCAAATCTTGAGATAACATGCCATCGGCATCTGGAGGCTGTCGTGCAGGCACACTGGGCTTCCTTAAAAAGCTAAAGCAGCCACAGCAGCCTATGTTGGTTAGATCTGCCATTCAGAACGTCTAGGCACCAGAAACCCTAGAACAAGAAAAAAAAAAGTAACAACGTTACAAAAAAAACATCATCAAGATAAGGAAGTCATGGGCTTGTCTGCTGCATTCCTTTACGGTTACTGCAACACCACCAGACTGCAACAGATTCTAGAAATGAATAGACCACTGCAGAAGATTCAAAACTACATTTTGACAACAGACATACAGAAACTCGAATCACCAAATGGCATCCAATAGTTAGGTTTAAATTCGATCCTGTCAAAATACACAGGTCGGTCGAAGATTCTATCCCCCACACAGATTAACACCAATTGGAAGAGCCCAAACACAGTAAGCATCACTACGCACCATATGTACATTCTCCCGCTCAAATTCTGTATAAGCAGCAGTAGCTCAATAGCAATACCAGCTACAGCAAACCGGCAAGCATCTCAGGATTTAAAAGACCGTCTCGATTACAAGAGTCCCAGGCGATTCTGCTGCAGCAAAATTGTCGAAATTGCCACATCATGGTCACATCAGCCCCTCTGTCACGACCAACGCCCGCCCACTACTACCCAATATGCACCCACTGGCTCGAGGTAGGCGATAAATACGGGAGGGGACGGAGGCAGATCGGACGAACCTCGGCGTTACCGGAATGCGGAGGCGGGCCGGCGAAGGAGACGCGCGTCGCGTCTGCTCTGCCGGGGTCGGTTTTCTCCGAATGATTTTTTTTTACATGGTACTTCTGTATATAGTAGTACTATCATCAAAACGACTTTAATCCATCATTACGGCAAAGCAAATGGCTCACTGACAACCAGGGCGCACACTCTCCAACGGCTCAGATCGTCATGCCCCAGCATCGAACGGTGATGACCCCTCCCACCACCTCACCCCACCTCGAGGCTCATCAGATCCCCTGCGCCGAGATCTAAAACACCTCCCTCTCCCGTCGTCCATTGCATTCTCCTCCCTCCCTCTCTCTCGCGCGAGTCCCGACTCGCCCCTCCAGATCCATCACCTCCTCTTCTCCTCCAGATCCACCACCTCCTCCTCTACGTTCCTCTCCGCAGCTACAGCTAGGGGGGAGCTCGGCTTAGCCACCGACGTGGCCGGGCACGCCGGGCCGGGAGGATGCTGACCAAGTTCGAGACGAAGAGCAACCGGGTGAAGGGCCTGAGTTTCCACCCGCGTCGGCCATGGATCCTGGCGAGTCTCCACAGCGGGGTGATCCAGATGTGGGACTACCGCATGGGCACCCTCCTCGACCGCTTCGACGAGCACGACGGGCCGGTTCGCGGCGTCCACTTCCACGCCACCCAGCCGCTTTTCGTCTCCGGAGGTAATTTGCTAGATCCTTCCTCGTCTCGCCCGTCTGGTGCGCGCTTCGCATGTTTAGCTCATTTCTCTCGCGCGGATTGGTGGTGTTCCCGCGAGTTACGTGGATGTTTGATTGTTCTCCGATTCGTTGATTGTGCAATCTGGGCGATTGGACTAGACTGGTTTACAAGTTCGTTGATGAGATCGCGTTTGGTGGGAATTGCGGTGGTTAAGGATATATATAATAGTTTGGTACGATGGGTTGGTCGAACTCGGATCTGGTGCATGCTTCATCTGTGCTTACAATGATCTGTATGGTAAATAATTCATTAGTGCTTGATTTTTCCTGTGGCTGTAGTCAGTGGATTCTATAATCTTTGAAACATGAGGTAGAATACCTTCGTCACAAATCACAAAGGTATTCTCATTCTCATTAGTGCGCACCAAGACAAAAACCACTGCTGTAATCGTGCTATCAATCATTGAATTCAGAGTACTGAAACTAAGACATCCTTCGGCGCATTATCATTGTTACTTGTAAAACTTATTAATCTTCTAAGATTCTGGTTACTGTGATACGATGCAGGTGATGATTATAAGATTAAGGTCTGGAATTACAAGACACACCGCTGCCTCTTCACACTTCATGGTCACCTTGACTACATTCGCACTGTGCAATTCCATCATGAGTACCCATGGATTGTAAGTGCTAGTGACGATCAGACAATCCGGATCTGGAACTGGCAGTCACGCACCTGTGTGGCTGTGCTGACTGGGCATAACCACTACGTCATGTGTGCATCTTTCCATCCCAAAGAAGACCTGGTTGTATCTGCATCACTTGATCAGACTGTGCGTGTCTGGGATATCGGAGCTCTGAGGAAGAAGACAGTGTCACCTGCTGATGACATCCTCCGTCTCACCCAGATGAACACAGATCTTTTTGGAGGTGTTGATGCTGTAGTGAAATATGTCCTGGAAGGCCATGACCGTGGGGTCAACTGGGCTTCATTTCATCCCACTTTGCCACTCATTGTTTCTGGGGCAGATGACCGGCAGGTGAAGCTATGGAGAATGAATGGTAATAGTCTTATTGCTCACTTTGCAATTTGCATGTCTTGTTTGTAGTTTTTGTGTAGCAAAATGATAACTATTCAAGTATATATGATTTGATGTTTCCACATGATAGAATTACCTAATAATATGCTTTTAATCGTGGATATTTTTTTCTTTCTTTGTTTCTTTCTTTCTCTAATCTTTCCTTCACAGAACTTCACACCATTAGTAACTTGTTACTTTTGATTTATATTTAAAATATTACATGTAAAATGGCTCTTGGAGGTTAAGTTTAGCACACAATTTAGCTGCTCAATTAGTACTTAGCATATGTGAAAAAGAGTATACATTCTACAAGGAAATGGTTGAAATGCAATAATTTATATTTATTCTTTATGGACAGATACCAAGGCTTGGGAAGTTGATACTTTAAGGGGCCACATGAATAATGTGTCTTGCGTGATGTTCCATGCGAAGCAAGACATCATTGTGTCTAACTCAGAAGACAAAAGCATTCGCATTTGGGATGCCACAAAGAGAACTGGTATTCAGACATTTAGACGGGAGCACGACCGTTTCTGGATTCTTGCTGCTCACCCTGAAATGAACCTTCTTGCTGCTGGTCATGACAGTGGCATGATTGTGTTCAAATTAGAAAGGGAACGCCCGGCCTTCTGTGTTAGTGGTGACACTGTTTTCTATGTGAAGGATCGGTTTCTCCGGTTCTTTGAATACTCTAGCCAGAAGGAAGTTCAAGTGGCTCCAATAAGAAGACCTGGATCAGTCAGCTTGAACCAGTCACCCAGGACGCTGTCCTACAGCCCAACTGAGAATGCTGTCTTGATTTGCTCTGATGCTGATGGTGGTTCATATGAACTCTACATTGTTCCCAAGGATTCTGCTGGCAGGTCTGATTACTTGCAAGAGGCAAAGAAAGGAGCTGGTGGTTCTGCTGTTTTTGTAGCGCGCAACAGGTTTGCAGTCCTTGAGAAGAGTAGCAATCAAGTTTTGGTGAAGAATCTTAAGAATGAAATTGTGAAGAAAAGCCCCCTTCCCATTGCGACTGATGCAATATATTATGCTGGGACAGGTAACCTGCTGTGCAAAGCTGAAGACAGGGTGACCATCTTTGATCTTCAGCAAAGGTTAGTTCTTGGTGAGCTCCAGACTCCTGCTGTCAAATATGTTGTTTGGTCCAGTGACATGGAATCCGTTGCACTGCTGAGCAAGCATGCAGTGGTTATAGCTAGCAAGAAGCTTGTCCACAGGTGCACACTGCATGAAACCATCCGTGTGAAAAGTGGTGCCTGGGATGAGAATGGTGTGTTCATTTACACTACACTGAACCATATGAAGTACTGTCTTCCCAATGGAGACAGTGGGATCATAAAAACCCTTGATGTTCCTATTTACATAACGAGGGTTGTTGGGAACAACATTTTCTGCTTAGATCGTGATGGAAAGAACAAGCTGATTGCAGTTGATGCATCGGAGTACATTTTCAAGCTCGCCCTACTCAGGAAACGCTATGATCATGTTATGAGTATGATTAAGAACTCCCAGCTGTGTGGGCAGGCTGTGATTTCTTATTTACAACAGAAAGGTTTCCCAGAAGTTGCTCTACACTTTGTGAAGGATGAGAAGACCAGATTTAACCTAGCTCTTGAGAGTGGTAACATTCAAATTGCAGTTGCTTCTGCAAAGGAGATTGATGACAAGGATCACTGGTACAAGTTGGGAGTTGAGGCCCTGAGGCAGGGAAATGTTGGTATAGTGGAATATGCTTACCAACGAACAAAGAATTTTGAGAGGCTTGCTTTTCTGTATCTTATTACTGGTTACTTGGACAAGGTCGGCTTCATGTGCAAAATTGCTGGACAGAACAACAATTTGATGGGACAGTTCCACAATGCATTGTATCTTGGGGATGCCAAGAAGCGTGTTGAGATCTTGGAGAATGCTGGGCAGCTACCTCTTGCTTATGTTACCGCTGTCACTCATGGGCTCACAGAAATTGCTGAGAGGCTTGCTGCTGAATTAGGTGAGAATGTTCCTTCTCTGCCTGAAGGAAAATCCCACTCACTACTGATCCCTCCTGCACCTCTCACAGCGTGTGGTGATTGGCCATTGCTGAGGGTAATGCGTGGTATTTTCGAAGGTGGACTGGATGCTACTGGAAGGGCAGATCTTGAGGAAGATGATGAAGCTGCTGGTGCTGATTGGGGTGATGAAGACTTGGATATTGTTGATGCAAGTGAAGTGGTGGCCAATGGTGGTGATGGTTTTGATGTAGAAGAGGGTGAGCCAAATGAGGAGGATGGTGAGGAAGGTGGTTGGGACCTGGAAGATCTGGAACTTCCACCTGAAACTGAGACTCCAAAAGCTGTTGGCAGTGCTCGCTCTGCTTTATTTGTCGCTCCTACACCAGGTATTCCTGTCAGCCAAATTTGGACTCAGAGATCTTCTCTGGCTGGGGAGCAAGCGGCTGCAGGGAACTTTGACACAGCAATGAGGTTGCTTAGCCGCCAGTTGGGTATCAAGAACTTTGTTCCACTGAAGCCCTTGTTTCTTGATCTGCACATGGGCAGTCATGCGTATCTGCGTGCGCTTGCCGCCGCTCCTGTTATATCAGTTGCAGTAGAGAAAGGTTGGAATGAGTCTGCAAGTCCTAACGTGAGGGGCCCTCCTGCACTTGTTTTCAGCTTCTCACAAATGGAAGATAGACTCAAGGCTGCCTACAAAGCCACAACTGAGGGCAAGTTCCCTGAAGCACTGAGACAGTTCCTTAGCATCCTGCATACCATTCCAGTTATTGTGGTGGATTCACGGAGAGAAGTTGATGAGGTAAAGGAATTAATTGAGATAGTGAGGGAGTATGTTCTTGGTCTGAGGATGGAACTCAAGAGAAAGGAATTGAGGGATGATGTGACCCGTCAACAGGAGTTGGCTGCTTACTTCACAAACTGCAAGCTTCAGAGAGTTCATATGAGGCTTGTGCTCGCTAGCGCTATGGCTCTTTGCTTCAAGCAGAAAAACTATGCAACTGCATCACACTTTGCAAGGATGCTTCTTGAGAACAGCCCTCAGGAGGCCCAAGCAAAGAAGGCTCGACAGGTGCAGCAAGCTTGCCAGGACAAGAACGATTCTCACCAACTGAACTATGACTTCAGAAATCCATTCGTTGTTTGTGGCGCCACATATGTTCCTATCTATCGTGGCCAAAAGGATGTTTCCTGCCCATACTGTGGATCCCGATTTGTTCCGTCCATCGAAGGGCAGCTTTGTACCATATGTGAGCTTGCTGCGGTTGGGGCAGATGCTTCAGGCCTCCTCTGCTCTCCTACACAGTCAAGATAAGCAATGGTAGTTAGAGGTCCCCTATATTCTTTCTAGTGTCAAGTTCCAAGACTTTATCATATATTTTACCAGGGAGTTTACTGATTGTAAGGAATAAGTATTATACATGTTTTTATCGAGTTTTTTCTTGTGTTTTGTTACCATAATTTTTGTTTGCCTAGAGGCTGCTGTCATCACCTGCCGTATGGTTTAGACTTTTGATCGACTTTGGAAGCTATGCTGGAAAATGATGTATGAGATGTTTCTTTCACTCTTTAAAATTCTTTTTGGGATGTCTTGGATGATGGTTTCTGCGGCTGATAAGTTGGTTGAAGCTGTTTTGTCATCAGAGAAAAATATTGTATCATAGCTGATAAGTTTGAAGCGAACAGGGCTAACGGGCTTTCTCATGTGCTCGGTAGGCGGGCTAATGTGCTTTATGTCAAAATACCTCGAGCCTGAAAGAGTTTACCTACTAGAGTGCCAATCTCTTATCTCTTCCGATTATCAGATGGATTTGTTTGGCGGCCTGTTTTAGTCCATGAGATACAACCGGCATCAGATAAACACGTCGTGGGGATATTACCTTCCATTTCTTCAGGTAAACATCGTGGCGATATTACCTTCCGTTTCTTCACTCGACGACGTTCACTGCTCTATGGAAAACTGAATCATACATCTGTTTTCCACATGATCATTGATCGTGCTTCCAAAGATGGGTAAGGCAGCAACACCTAACATTCCAAAGAATGGGCAAGTTCGGGCGTTTCTCCACGATATATCTTCACATGGATTGCAATCAACTTTATCTTAATCCTTGAGCAAATCCAGCTTAAGTTTGTGACCTGAACTATTTCAACATATAAAAGCATAGTTTCAAGTTACTTTTAACTTTTAATCCAACAATGATTTGATACTTTGATTGCATGACTCATCATGCTTAATTAGTCCCTCGGATCAACACAAATACTTGTTTCTTCACCTTGGCTATGTACCTCGAAGTCGTTTTCTTGTCATGTCTTGCTTGTGCCAACAATAAGCCTTCTTATTTTGATCAATACGAAATCTGTTGTCAATATTTTTGATTTAATTGTCAAGCTATATATGTGAAACCAACTCATGCAACTAATTATGTATATTTTCTCTTTTGAGTGTCTTTATTAAGAAACCCAGGCTTTAATTTATATAGAAAAAAAGAAAAGAAAAAATGGCGCCATTTTGATAAATGGGGGTGTTAAATAAACTGTTTAATAATGAGGGAAAATTTGGACTTTAAAGAAAATTAGGAACGCATGCAAAAATTAATAAGATCTCGAAATTTGAAACACAGTGAAGACTAGGGGCGCGTTTGCATGGCGGTCGCACCACGCCACAGCTCGCCACAACTCTCACGCACAAGCTTCGGCGCCGTTTGGTTAGTCGCCGGACTAACGGCGTGCTGCAACGCAGTCACAGCTCGCCAGTTCATTTGCGTGTCACGGTTGCCAAAAGTCTGGTGACTGAAATGGCCGCCGTATTTCTGGCGCAGGCACAGCTTAGGCGTGGCACGCTTAGGCGTGACCCAAACGCGCCCTAGTTTTGGCAACAACAGTTTTTCGGCCGCGTCGCCTGCATGCAGACAGATTGCGCTCTCACGCCACTTCGTACTTGAAGTCTATAGCGCGGGTTCGGAGCGCAGGAGCAGAGAGGAGAGGGGACCGCAATGTCGTTGAGCGGGAGATTCGATCCAGAGTCCTCTCCGGCGCCGTCACCACCACCGCCATCGCAACCGCAGAGTCCAGGAGCGTGATAGGGGTGGAGACCCCAGGCCTGCAGAGCGCTCTCTGCTGGCGCAGTTCCGGCTCAATCTTCTCCGATGGCGCCGATCCCAAGAGAGGCGTTTTGCATAGGATGGAGCTCCGGACCAAGGAAGCCGCTTATGACTTCGCCGCGATCAGAGACCACCTCACCGCATGTGTTGAGATTTTAGAGGAGGCGAAGGAAGAAATCGGCTTGTTCTATCGGATGCCGCCGCCGGAGATTGTCAGCCACCGAGGTATGCCCTGGCCTCTCTCTCACATGCACCTACTTTGTCAATTTCGTATTTTGATCTTTCGGTTAATTGAATTGAATCCCCGTAATGTTTTGCCAATCCAAGATCTTTTTGAGACAATATGGGGATGGGAACGTTTTTTTCCTGTCTACAACCTGAGGTACCTTGAAGAATACTACCGAAGAAATGCCAGAGCGACCTTGGCTCAACCGCAACCTATGTTATCCCTTTTTTCTCTAGTCTACCTGGTAACTCCATTTCCTCCTAGCTACTAGCTTAATTTTCCAGGTTTCCATGTTAGGTTAGGGTTGTATTTCCTGATTGCTTCGCCAAGAATTATCAGCAATTTTAAACTGTTCCGTTGTCTGCTTTGCTTTCCAAGGGTCGCGAGAAGCAGGTTGCCAGTTCTACGCAGTCTAATGCCACCAGTGGGCAACAGCATGCCGATTCTGCTGATGTCAATGACAACTTGGCTACTATTCTCGTCCATTTGGTAACTCCACCGCCTGCCAATTACTAGCTTAATATGCAGCCTTTGAGGCTAGGTTACAGTGAATTGATCTATATTTTGCTTACTTTCCAAGTGTTGCAAAAAGGAGAAAGAAATGGTATCTGAATGGAAGGAGCAGGGGTTAGATGATGCCTCTCCTGAGATCAGGCTGAGCACGGCGATTCAGAAGCAAGTCATAAATCTTGTGCTGCCAAAAAAGAAGCGTATCATACCTCCTGTTATTGTACGTGTAGAAGAAACAGCTTCGCATCAGTTTAGATTCTATGCACTTTATTTATCTGTTTACTCCACTTGCAGCTAGATTGCATCAATTGTATCATGAAGGAAGCTGACTTGAGCCTTGTGTCGATGAGGAAGGGGATAAGGAAGGGGTCGCTTGCTGATGACTGTGATGGAAACTTGAGCCATAACATTCGTTATGAGGTGTTTTGTCTCATTAAAAAGTATTGGCGTGCACATCCGTCCTCTGCTTCTGTTGCTACATGTGCTGTCCTGTTTGTAAGTGTTGGTGCCAGACCAGAAATGATAGGTTTCATTTGTTGTATACGAGTATTTTTACTGTTTGATGGGTAACTTGCCTGCAAAAATTGCAAACAATAATTTGAGGGGAACCACAAAGGAAGCTGAACAGATGTGTGAGAAGAGGAGGCGAGACAGTCTCTTGTTTGGAGAGCATACCTTGACTACAAGCATCCGCTCGCTGGCCTTAGGTATGTAGTCTGGTGATATGGAAGCATATGTGCTTAAGACAGCTACAACTGAGGGCTTTTGCTATTGGGACTACGTTGATCCAGATGCAATAGACATGCCTGCCTGGTATGATGTATATATACTGATTGGTATATTTCATGATATGTGAGAGGAAAAATTTATAATGTTGCGAGGAGTGAGAAGCATATCAGTATTATTTCCTCTATGTTCTCTCTAGGTGTGGAAGTGCTAAAGTGCACGTCGATGGCTCTGATGAGTTAAGCAAGGAAAAGCATTCAACTAAAAACAAGGTACAGCAATAAACTAGCACAAGTTGGCAGTTTGTTCTTATATTCTGAATCTTTTTTTGCTGACCTGAACTGTTTGCTAGCTGGAAGAGGATGTGATTGTCTACAACATAACCAGAGGCTCTCATGCGTTAAGTAGGGAAATGCATTCAACCAAAAACATGGTATAGCAATGACTCCACAAATTAACAGTTTTTGCTTACCTTCTGAAATTTTTTTTCTGACTTGAGCCGTTTTCTAGCAGGAAGAGGATGTGATAGTCTGCGACATACGTGGAGGGAGGGTTGTATCGACTTAAAAGGTTAGTAGAAATTATATGGCTATAATGAAAGTCAGAAAGGCTTTCATGCATGTATAATTCAGAAACTTGGGGGAAGATCTGTTGTTCCTGTGTGTTAATGCAATGAGAGTAGGTGGTGGCAGGTTAAAATTAGTGAGCACACGGAGATGCTAATACCCATCTTTGCAGTTTTTTCGTTCATGATGCAATTACTTTGTTCTTTTAACTTATCCACTGGTATTAATAGATCGTCAAACACTTTTCATGTTTGCAATCTCAGGTTGGAAAATGTTGTTGGTTATTATGGTATGATTTTATCCTAACAGATTTGAGTAGCACCCTGCTCTTAAAATTAACTTTTGTGTTTTTTTGAATGTCCATGCAAGGTACTAAGAAACATTTCCTGTTCCGTTTTCTATGCACTCTGAGTTTGACAGACCCTGTTGGTTATGGTATAATTTTGTCCTAACAGATTTGAGCAGCACCCTGCTCTTGCACTTGTTTTGCTGTTCGTCTGAGGTGCTAAAAATTCTATTAATTCAGTACTTAGTAATTTTACCTCCAATCTTTCAAGAAGTTGCCAGATTAACAATAATTAACATAGCACTTCTCGGCTATGTATCTCGGATGCTTCACTAACCCAGCCGGCCAGCCGTCCCCATATCAGATACTTCAATATTATGATACTTTCTCTGTATTACCACAATGTTTTTCAGAGTTGAATATCGTTGTACCCATATTTCCATACTGGTATCCTAAATCGGTGATATATACGGCTTGTTCGCTGGTTGGTTTCTGGGCTGGTTTGGGCTGGCTGGTGCTGGTTTGTTGTGAGAGAAAAACACTGTTGGGTAACATATATGCACAAGCAAAGAAGTGGGACAAGGTTAAGGGTTTAAGGAAGATGATGGCAGAAAGGGGTTTGAGTAAGACGCCTGGGAGTAGTTGGGTGCATGTTGCATAAATCCATTCTACTGATCTTACTCATTTTATCTTTTGGGGTCAGTTACTCAGTTGACAAATCAACATGCAACTCAGATTTTGGGCACTAAATTTGGGAAGATGAGGAGTCAATGGAAACAGCTGTTTAGTTGCCATCATCATGGAATCCCCATTCCTCATGTTTCCTGACTTCTCGACGTGGGTTCAGAACCCATTGGAATCAGTTGTTCTTGTGGTCCTTCTTTGGAGCTTTAGGGCATATTCTTTAATCCTCATCACATCTGATCTTCATTATGTGGAGAAGACAGGAGGATAATGGAGGTTTAGATACAAGAATATAAGAAATGAGAAATCTAAACCTCCATGAACATGTGAGATTGTCTAATGCATATTTTGATGAGAGGAGCATTGAAGGGGTTATGTTAAATTGGAGAAGCTATGAGCTATATCTTATGTTCTCTAGATGATACAGATGCTCCATGAAGATGCCCATATCCATCCTTGCTACCTGGAAAAGTTCAAGCATTCGTCATGAAACTCGTAACTTGTCTGTTGCCAACTCCACCACCTTTTATTCAAGTACATCTGTACATACACTTTGCAATTTCTACTAGTAATTCAGAAACTTGGGGAAAGGTATGTTGTTCTTGTGTGTTACATGCAAGAGGAGTGGTTAGTGAGCACACGGTGATGCTAATAAACTGAATATGGACACTAACAGGCGCCAACAAATCCAAGAGAAATTCATTAAGATAGGATCTGCCCATCTTTGCAGTTTTTTCGTTCAATGATGCAATTACTTTGTTCTTTCTCTCTTGTTGGTTCTGTACAACCAAAGCTACAGGGGGTCTATCTCTTAACTTATCCACTGGTAGTAATAGGTCATCAAACACTTTCATGTTTGCAATCTCAGGTTGACAGATGCTGTTGGTTATAGTATGATTTTGTCCTAACAGATTTGAGCAGCACCCTGCTCTTGCACTTGTTTTGCTATTTGTAATTCAGTACTTAGTAATTTTACCTCCAATCTTTCAAGTTACCAGATTAACAATAATTAACATAGCACTTCTCGGCTATGTATCACCGATGGCTCACTAACCCACCCGTACCCATATCAGATACTTCAATACTATGATTCTCTGTATTACCACAATGTTTTTCAGAGTTAAATATCGCTGTACCCTTATTGCCATACTGGTATCTCATATCCGTGATATATATCTTCTTGGTACCTTCCCGTGGACCCCACTCATATGGGAGTCTCCGGCACTGGGTCTATCCTTTTTTTTACCTTCCCGTGGACTGTACAAAGTCTTTTTTGGGAGTTAAATTTTGTGCTAAGGAGCCAAACAATGCATAACTTACATATATTATGCTACTTTTTTTTTCTCTGTAATAGCCTACCACAACTTGCTTGGGACTGAAAGGCTATGCTGTTGTTGTTGTTGTTGTTGTTGTTGTTGTTGTTGTTGTTGTTGTTGTTGTTGTTGTTGTTTCTCTGTAATGTTTTTTGGTGGGTAGATTGCCGTTACAATCTCATTATTGCCCTGCTATTTTTCATGTGTTTTTTCAGCCAGACACATCTTAGTGGTATTCCATCCACTGCCAGCTTGGACAATGTTGTGCTGGACAGAAGCAGAAACTTTTACGAGGGAAGAGAAGGCAAGAAGATGTAGCTGTAGCTATTGTAACCCAGTAACCCCAAAAAAAAAGGCAATAATGAGATGCTTCCCTGATGCTTCTGAAAACCAGAGATGAAAGGCTGCAGTTATGTTCTGTCATCTGTTTGAATTCATTATTAGCCCGTGGTTCATATGTCTGCAGACGCTGTCCTATTCTGGAATTCATAATTGGTTCGTGGTTCATGCCTTGCAGATGCTGTGCTATTCTGGAATTCATCATCAGTCCGTGGTTCATGTCTGCAGATGCTGTACATTTCCTTTCCTGTGTAGGGTAGTCATGTTAAGATGGAACTACTCTAATCAATTTTACGAAGAAAGAATCGCGCTGCTGTTGCCAAATAGATTTCACCTTTTGATGACGCTCGCCAAATCGCCAATGCTAGCAGCGTCAGTATGCTCGCAGGCGCCAGCTTTGCTGCTACTTTGCCTAACTGACAACCCAGAGATCTAAGGTTAAATAACCTCCACTCAGATTTTTAAACATCCAATTGCACGATGTTCACTAAACCGAACAAATTTTTTCGTTCAAAAAAACAGAAGAAATTTCATATGATACCATAACATAGCTTTCAGCAGAACCAAGATGTACCATGCCTTCGTTTGCTGAATCCAATATGCCAAATATTCAGACTTTCATATGCCACTCCGTCCGTTCACCTTCATCTCTTTTGCCAGGGTTCCAGACAGCTCTACTCTGGCCTTGTTTAGATTGATGTTTGGAATCAGTATTTGGTACTGTAGCACTTTCGTTTGTATTTAATAATTATTGTCCAATCATGGCCTAACTAGACTCAAAAGATTCGTCTCGTAATTTACAGTCAAACTGTGTAATTAGTTATTTTTTTTATCTACATTTAATACTCCATACATGTGTTCAAAAATTTGATGTGATGAAGAGAGAGTGAAAAAACTTGGAATCTAAACAAGGCCTCTATTGGATATTGGGAATGTTATTAAAGTCGAAGCGAAGTTAAGAAACTGCACATTCTCCTGAAAACTCAACTGAGTAGTATAGTGAACTGGCAGAAACATTGAAGGCGAGGCCCAAACAGCCTGTAACTACAGCCAGGCTGAAAAATCCCAACAAACATCGTTAAGCCCGTGTTTAGTTAAAAAAAAACTTTCTAAAAAGTGATACAGTAATCATCACATCGAATCTTGCGATACGTGCATAGAGCATTAAATATAGACGAAAAAAAACTAATTGCACAGTTTGGTTGGAAATCGCGAGACGAACGTTTTGAGCCTAATTAGTCCATGATTGAACACTAATTGCTAAATAAAAACGAAATTGCTACAGTAGCCAAATTTCAACTTTCCCCAACTAAACACGCTCTAATTTCAAGGCTGCCACACTGAAAGCAGTCTACTTCCTACTCAAGCGAGCAACATGTTCGTTTCGGCTTATTTGCTCGTATCTTGTTTATAATCCACGACTTGAAATAGATTTTTCTCTCACACCAAATCAGCCAGGAATACTTTCAGCCATGGCTTATAAGTCAATTCAGCCGAAACCAACAGGCTGAAGATTAGATAACAGATCGTGATCTTAATTAAGCTAACATGACTACGCGAGAAACATCACAGCCAGTAGCTGCAGCTTGCGTAACAGACAAGCATCAGAACGTGTCATGCTCACCAACCAAACGGAGTCTCCTGTTCATCAGCCTTCGCTGCTGTAGCTGACTACAGGTCCGTATTGGTGTCCTCCATGAAACCTAGTACCAGCCAGTGTCGGTGTCACCATCGCCAGAACTGACATCAGACCACCGGTGATCAGCTTATCCTGTGAAGGACGCTTCTCGACGTCAGCAGATCACACGCGTTTCATCAACTGTCATCTGTCACAAACAGGTGTCAGGTGTGACACACCGATAGTCAGCTGTTCGTTTAGCCGTGGTTTATCGTAAAAGATAGTAAATTTTCAGCCAAAATAGTATTTTTCTCTCACATAAACCAGTCAATAATACTTCTTTACAAACCAGTAACGATATAAACCAGCCAACCGAACAAGCTGAAGTGTTCATCGATCCATTCACTCACTAACTAATGCATCAGCAGAGGGCAAATTCACCATCGTCACTAACGGAGCGTCAGATCGGAACAGGCTGATGACAGCAATCTCGAAAACCACTAAGCAAGCATATTCCATGCGACCTTTAGAACAATCCATCCAACCGAACTACTACATCAAAGAGAGACGTGACGAGGTTGCTGCGAATGCGATGCAGCAAGAACACAATCCACCCATCAGCCAAGGCAACTGCAAGATCACTGCAATTCTTGGTTGTTGGCTGAGCTAAACAGAATTTCATGGATCAAGACAAGACTGGCAAATGAAACGATCAGACTAACTGCATTGCATTGCGCGAGCGCGACAGGGAGACACACGATACACCGCCGGAGCCACACCACTCCGGCCACCACCCACCAATAGTAAGGTAGAGAAACACCACGAACCACGACACACCGCCGGCCGCCACCGCCGCCGAAGCTGCCTCCACTCAAGACTCCTGCCCCTACACGCTCCCCGGATTAGACAACACCACACACGAACTGAGACGAAACCCACATCAGACAGACAAGAGCTGGAACGAGGGCAAAATGTTAGCTTGCGCCAGCTCGCCGCCGCACCCTGGCCGGCGGGCGAGAGCTCCTCGGCATCACACGAAGCCGACCTCGGCGAACTGCGGGCGCGCCGCCTTGGCTGACGCTGGCGCGCCCGGGCGCGGCCGCGGGGCCATCCCCTCCGGGAGCGGGTTCTTGCGCGGCCGGCCGCGCGGGCGCGGGATCTTGGGCGGTGCGTGCGGGTCCCGCGGCTTGGGCGGGCGGCCGCGCCGGCGTGGCGCGGCGGTTCCGAGCACGCCGATGGGGCCCGGACCGGCAGCTCCTGGCACGCCGGCGGCGGGGAAGCCCGCGGGCCGCGGCTTCGGGGGCCTTCCGCGCCCGCGCTTAGCGGGCAGCTGCGGCAGAGGTAGAGGCTCCGGCGCCTCCTCCTCCTCCTCGTCGGCGCAGTCGTCTTCTTCTTCGTCGTCAGCCAGTGACTCCGACGCCGGCGGTGCCGGCGGCGGAGGCGGGGGCAGCGCGTACTTTCCCCCCGCGACGGCGACGAGCTCCCCGGCGGCGGACATGCGCGAGAGGTGGGCGGCGACGAGCGCCGGGTGCGAGGCCGGCAGGTCGCCGCGGGCCTCCGCCTCGATGCGGCGCGCGATGGCGGCCTGGCTGGAGCCGTTCTCCTCGGCGAGCGCGGCGAGCGCGGCGACGATCATCTGCAGCAGCCAGGGCAGGCGCAGGGGTCAGTCAAATTCGGCAGATCGGCGTAGATCTGGCGGAAAGGAGCAGCTCAGAGGAGAGGAGAGGGGAGGAGGTAGGGCTGGAACCGAGGGAGGGAGGGAAGCTTGCCTCGGGGTAGGAGGGGGGCACGAGGTCGGAGGAGCCCGGGGGCGAGCCGTCGCCACTGGAAGTGGGAGTGGCCATGCCTGCGCTGCGCTGGCCGCCTCGGCTGCTGGCTGTCGCTTCCTCGCCCTCTCGGCGTGTCTGGGCGCGTGGGGGAGTGGGAATTGGGGGCGCAGCGGAGAGGGGAGGAGGGGCCGCGACGACGCGGATCTGAGACTGAGAGGGGCGCTGCCGCTGAGGCCTCAGGGAACGCAAGTACAGTTTCGACAAGGAATCTGTCGGGTGTTCCGCGCGTGGTACCGGGGGGTGACCCGGCCCATCCGGCTCGGGGCCGCGCGGGCGCTCCCGCACGCTCCCGCGCACCCGCCCCAAGTCCCAACGGTGTGGGTTCGGATCGGCTCGACTCGACCGTCCGGCGCTGCTGCTAGCTGCCGCCTGCTGTCGAGTGTCGACCGTGGTGGTTGACCGCGGCATTTATTTAATTTGTTTTTTGTGCGGCGGCTGACCAAACCAGGGCACTGAAGCGCCGTGGAAAAATGATGATTTGCAAAGGAGAAAGGGAAACTTCGAGGTGATTCTAACCGGTGGAGAAACAAACACTCGACGGCAAACCGTAAGAATGTCCGTTGTTGATTCTGAACGAGTGAAGAAATGGTGGTGGTCCACGTGACTACGTGCGCGAAGAGGACTCCACTTTAGAGCCGCCCATTGTTTCACTTTATAAATTGACACCTTCTTCTTAAGGTACCGTTTAGTTCCACTCTAAAATACCAAATTTTTCAAGATTCTCTGTCACATCGAATCTTTGGACGCATGTATAAAGCATTAAATATAAATAAAAAAATAAAACTAATTACACAGTTTAGACGAAATCCACTAGACGAATCTTTTAAGTCTAATTAGACTATGATTGGACACTAATTATCAAATAACAACAAAAACTACTACAATGTCATTTTGCAAAAATCTACGACATCTAAACTGGCCCTTACTCTATCGATCCTGCTGCTTTTTACTATGCTACTACTAGTACTAGGTATTGCTATTGCAGATCGTCTCTACCTCTTACATATATACGTCGTATTTTTTTAGCTAACGAATTTCTCTCACAACAAATCAGCCAACAATACTTTCAGTCATGACTTATCAGCCAAACAAACAGGGCAATATACTCAAGTTTAATATATTTCAAATCAACTCCTTCCTCCTTTCAAATTATAAGTTATTTTGGTCTTTTTCAAATCTTCGTTCTAAATTATAAAATATTTTAACTTTTCTAAATATATTATTTTTGTTATGCACTTAAATATAAACTATGTCTAAATACTTAGTAACGGAAAAGCCAAAATGACTTATAAGCCTGTTCGCTTCGCTGAAAAAACAAGTCGAAACATTGTTCCGGCTGATTTGTTTTGAGAGAAAACACTGTTTCGGCTGAAAAAGACGGATTATAAGAGAAGCGAACAAGGCCATAATGTATTTGGGAAACCAAAATAATTTATAATGTAACAATTTGGTGCGACGAAAGATATTAATTGTGTCAAGGTACTCTATGGCAGGACCGTGTGGAAGAGAGGACAAAATTTGAGAGGTGAGAGTGGAAATGGTTGTGAGGGGCATTGGAAAGGAGATGAGGATTGTGAGAAAGGAATATATCTAGTCTCAATTTGTAGGCTGTAGCTACCGTTGTTTTTTTTCCTTTTTTTTCTTGTTTCCTTTTGCTTTTGGTAACAAACGCATATACAGGGTAAAAGAGGTGCCTAAGTGGAAAACACAAAGCTTTTCTTTGACAATTCACTCCTTCAAATATAGAAATTGAAGTCTGGTACTGGTAATGTGTACTAATGAACCATGACTAAAATCCGGACGGTAGAAGTTAATTGCAAACAGTTTAAGGTATAAAATGTTGTCGAACAAAGAAGGAAAAAAACTAGCGTTAGCTGGCCAGAGACCATTGCTTCAAGGACACGAAGTTCACAACAATGGTAAACAAAGCTGGCACATCAGTCTGAGAAATTAAAAATGGAATGTTCTTATGCTAAAAGTGATACGTACTATTATTCCATACGCGTTGTTATTCTTCCCCGTCGACCTATCACCTATCACTAGTTGCTTTTGTTAGAGCTTAATCTAACGTGGCTTTTAACTGTGTGTCATTAAAAAAGTTTATAATTACGTATAAGTCATTAAAAAATTGAGCTCCTACGAGTGTCATCGTTCTGAACTTCTTTGCTCTTCAAGCCATTCCGTCTATGTTTTGTTTGTTTTTTACCGTTTGGTAGCCCTTACGTATGAGCCCGGTAAGTGTAAATGTCCAAAATACACTTCTCTTGTCCTATCCTCTTGCTTCTTTCTCTCTCTGCCTAGTGGGCCCAAACTGTCAGCGATCCGGCTCCACCTTCCTCCTCGCCAGACGCCGCTTGACAAGGCACTTGGACGCGGGTGGAGCTTCGCTTCGCCATGCCCACATCGGGGCGGAGCTTCGCCAGGCCTTCATGTGGCAGGCGGAGCTCCTCCGCATGCGGGTGAAAGGTCCTTGTTTGGTTTTGGTAATTGAGTGACAACCTAGGTGGACTAATTGTGTTTATGTGAGATACACAGGCGATTAGTCCACAGGTATATATGTGTGAGCAACATATGCCATGAAGGTGAAAATGGCTTGGAGATGTTGCAAAGCTCACGCATGTGATGATGAAGGAGCTTAACGCACATGAGACATAACATTGAGTCATGTGATCAAGGTGGAGAAGATCAAGACAAGACTTGGCTTGATGGACCGGTTGCAAGCGTGAAGGGCAAGTCGAAGGCTTTGGAGTGATGGACCGCGTGGCGGTGAAGCTTGAGCAAGACTTGGCGCCGATGGACGATGGCAACGGTGAAGGGCAAGTGAAGTCAAGATCGATGAACCAATATGATCACGTGATAATATGAAGTGGATCATATCATTGTTGATCGTGTTGGTGCATGTGTTGCATCGACATTGGAGGAGATGGAATGGAATGCGCAAGGCAAAGGTATAACCTAGTGCATTTCATTTCACCGGTCATAGGTGTGTAGAGAAGTTAATGACCGGGTTTATGATAGATGGCCGTACTATCAAGAGGAGCAAACTTGTTTGCATATCGGTCATCTAGTGCCACTCGAGTGATCTAACTTTGCATCGTCGCTAGGATCGAGTGGCGTGGCAAGTTGAGTGGCTAACATCCTTTGGGAAATGATTGTGAAAAGCTAACACACATACACATGGTGGTGTACAATTGGTGGTGTTGGCACATTTACAAATGAGGTGGTGTTTGCAGGGTTGAGTCTCGGCGGGATTTGGCACTTTCGGGAAAATGGAATGCCTATTTTCTATTGCACCGGATGCAAATTCTTGTGGTTGGCACATTGGAGCAAGGGTGAAGAAGTTAGAAGTGAAAACGAGTTGGTCGCGAAGACGCTGGCGTCGGTCAGTTTGACGCTGGGTCTGAAAGCATCGGACGCTGGTAGCATGCGTCCGGTCGAGCTGGTCGGTCGGCACAGTACCGAGGGTGTTGCACCGGACGTTGGTCCGTGGTCCGGTCAAGGTGGACGATGGTCAAGAATACGCCTCGGGAGCTTATCGGAAATGACCCGGACGCCGGGGCCGAAGCCGTCGGCTTGAAGTCGCTCGCGTCCGGTCAGTCAAGTGACCGTTGGGAGCACGTGGTCGTCTGGGCGACCGGACGCCGAGGTCCAGCGTTCGTCAACACACGACGGAGCGCCCGGTCGACTCGATTTTTGCCTAGTGAAGGGGTACGGCTAGTTTAGCCCTTGGGGCTATAAATAGAAGTGGCCTCGGCCATGGTCAGTGCCGAGCACCTTGGGGGACTTAGTGTCCATGCTTGTGAGTGCTTGGGAGCCTCCATCACACATATACTTGATAGTGATCATTCGATTGTGTGAGTGGTGAGCGATTCTAGTGCGATTGCATCGTGAGGTTGCATCGAGTGGCACTAGGTGGTCGTGTTGCAAGCTGGTGGTGCTTGTTACTCTTGGAGGTTGCCACCTCCTAGATGGCTTGGTGGTGGTCTCCGTCGAAGCCCGCAAGAAGCAGCGCGCTCAGGAGAAGTGCTTGTGAGGGTACTTGTGCTCGCCATGGAGTCATGAAGAGCAACTTTAGTAAAGTGTGTCATTGAGCTACCCTCACTCAAGGGGTAGGTTCTTTGGTGCCCAGCGACGCGGGCTTAGCGGGTGATGCTAATTAGCTCACGAACCACCAAGTGAGCGGTCGACATAACGGGACTAGCGTGTTGGCAAACACGTGAACCTCGGGAGAAAAATCATCGTGTCAACCTTGTTCTTCCCATTGGTTTGCATCCCCATTACACAAGCTTGCAATTACTTATATATATCTTAAGCTTGTGTAGTTGCTCTTGTAATTAGATAGCTTGTGTAGCTAGCTAATTACCTTCTTGCTTGTATAGCATAGAAGTAGCTCCATGCGGTGGCTAATTTGGTTTTAGTAACCTTGTTAGTCACATTGCTTAGTTTGTGTAGCTAAGTATTTGCGCCTCTAATTAGGCATTTGTTGCCTTGTTATTGAGCATTGCTAGTGAGCTTAGTTAGCTTTGTGCTTTTGCTTACTAGCATGTGTGTAGAGCCCTTGTTACTTAAAGTACTAGTGGCATAGGTTTGTGTGACCTTGCTCCTAGAATTGTTTAGGAGAGCTCTAGCTAGCCTGGCACCTTAGTTGCTTTATTAGTATCTTTGCAAGGTGCTATATAACATATATTGAGGGGTGTAGTCTTGGCTAGACCGATAGTTGTATTTCCGCATTTGTTTCGGTTAGCCGACGCGATTAATTTTATAAAAGACTATTCACCCCCCCTCTAGTCCGCCATCTCGACCCTTTCAGCGGGCCCGTGGCGGCCGGGAAGAGTTTGTTTCGCCGCGCCTGCGGTGGCGGCGAAGTGAGCGCCTCCACGCGCACTCGTGGCGGTGGGCGAGCTCCCCGAAGGCCCTGGCCGATGGCGACCGGTCTTGGCGAGCAGGTCGTCAATGGAGGAGAAGATGATGAGCTCGGCCTCGGCGCGGGAGGACTCGAGGTCACGCGATGGTGGGATGTAGTGCTGCACGTACGGTAGGCATGTCTCCTCCCCGAGCCCGGACCGCTCCAGCAGCCACGTCATGAACCGGACACTGCGCTCGTCGAAGCTAGGCCACACGCGGGAGAGCTCCAAGAACATCGCGAACGACACGCAACAGTTGGGTTTGGTGCGGAAGCACACGAAGTACACCAGGTACACCACGCGCAGCGGGCGAGCATTAGGTCTGTGGGCTTGGCCGCTTGAATCGCGCCGAGGAGCCGCAGCAGGAGGAGGGCGCGGAGGCGGCACACGCGCGCGGTGATCTCCACCGGCGCCTTTCGGACGTGGTTGCGGCGAAGCTCCCGGGACGCTGCGGCAATACAATGGTCGCCTCGAGCACGGTGGCGGCATTCACGCTTGTGGAGGGCCATCCAGTCGTAGCAAAAGATTTCGGGCACGGATGCGATGCTCAGCAACGGCCACGTCGGTGCAAGGCAGCATGAAGTAGTTAACATGCACTTCGGCAATGGCGTTGGCAGCGGCGCGATGTTGCCGGGGTCAGCAACATGGGCAGCAGCGTGATGCCTTCTCGTGTTCGTGGTCACCGTGTCGCGCGATCGCCAGTTGAGGGGACGCGAGCCGGGGCTCATCGCTCTGGGCGTTGGCGTCTCCGCGTCTCCGCGTCTCCGTCGACCTCGGCCTTGGCCTCCTGCACCGCTGAGGCTCGCCGCCACGCCAAGAGCCAAACCCCCGTCTCACGAAGAAGCCGACGTTCGAGAACGCACCACCTCGAGCACTCGGGGTGGAACGAGGGCGGAGAACTGTGCCAGAAGCAGCAGACCGCCTTCGTGGTACAGGAAAGAGAAGAGAAAGAGAGAGAAAGATAAAGTTTGGGTGGCGGACAAACGGACCCCACTGTAGGGTAAAATAGTCATCACCTGTCTGTTTGACACCGTTAAATAGAAAAGCGGACGGAATGGCTTAGAGAGCAAAGAAATTTAGAACGATGACATTCGTGGGAGCTCAACTTTTTTAATGACTTATACGTAATTACAAACTTTTTTAATGGCACGTAGATAAAAGCCTCTAATCTAATTCATCACTGCCGGCCACAAATAAACTTCTACTAGCGTAGAGATGGCATGATGTCACGAGGCACTTTCAAGTTAGGCAATCCCATTGGGCCAACATCGGGCCCACTACAAAACCCTATAGGGCTATAGGAGTCCACCCTCGCATCAGGCGGCGCTTGGCTTCGTTGCGGGGAGAGTGTTTTTTCAGGCGGCGGCGCGGTAGGGGGAACCGGGCGACCGAGCAAGCGACTGCCATGGCGTTCTGGCAGGCGCGCGATTTTCTCTTCTGCGGCGTATGCGGCACCCTCCTCACCTTCGACTCCGTCCGCTCCGCCTCCTGCCCTCTATGCGGCTTCAAGCGCGATGCCAAAGGTCTCTTTCCTCCTCCGCCGCATTCTCCTGTGCCAGTGTCCCCTTCGTTGATGTGTGAGATTAATCGATAATAATGACGCATATTTTTTTCCCGGTTCGCAGAGATTGAAGGGAAACAAATACAGTACACGATGACCGCCGAGGTAAAACTCACGGCTCCCTTTCTAGTCCTGATTAGTGATTCCTGAGGCTATTCTCATCGCCTTGTATTTCAAGCTAGACGAAAACGCATAGCCTAGAAGAACCTCTCTATCAAAAATTTCCCCATCCTGAAGCTATGCCATTGCCAACCATACTGCTGAGGCCATTGGCGAGGTCTAGGTTGATTTTCCTTTGAATTTCTGGGAGAATACCAGAGTTAAAACGCACAACATAGGAAGATGGGCATGTTTCTGAAATTATGGAAATTGCCATCAGTGGTGAATTCTAGTGTAAATTTAGCGCAAAGTTTTGTGTAGTACAGTAACAGTTGAACTAAGCACTGATGGCTTTTTAGGCTAGTGCATACGGACCATATGCTATATTGTCCTAGGAACTAAGCACTAAGCTTTTGCAGTATGCCTTAGTTGCTAAATAGAAATTTCAATTGCTGGACTTCAGGTGCTTTTTGGTTCAATGCTGGGAACAGTAATGGGAATGTAATCGGTTGACAGTGCTAGCTTTTGCAGTAGTATGGCATAGTTGCTGAATGGAAATTTCAATTGCTGGACTTCAGGTGCTTTTTGGTTCAATGCTGGAAACAGTAATGGGAATGTAATCAGTTGACAGTGCTAGCTGTTACAGTGGAACCGAAAGCATCATTTGTTTGGTTGGTTTTGGGAATGTTTTTCATTTCCATTAGTGTTTTGATGGGAGCAATGAGAACTGCAATGATCAACATTAGGGTTTTGAAAATATGGCTAGGGTTTGGAGAAAAGGTTGCTAGAGAGGGAGAGGGAGGGGATGGGGGATTGGCACTCAGCAGTACTCACTGGTGTGGATGCAGCAGGGCAGTTGGAGTCGCTGGCGCATGGGTGCTGGTGGTGAATGCGAGCAGAGAGGGCTCACGGAAGTGGAGAGTAGTCGTGTCCGTGTGGCATAATCGGATAACACAGGGAGGTGGACGGTAAAATTGTTTCATAGGCCCATATCTGATCCCTTGGTTATCATTTCTGGCCCAAACCAAGCAAACATGATGTGTGTGATCTGATAGCAGCGTGAACCATTACAGGTGCAAATACGCTGAGCCGAACAGATCCTCATATCCTGTATGTACTTTTGTTCTAGCAGGAACGAGGAGTTGTCTGATATACTGAATTAGACTGGTTCAATCATCAGCGTGCTTCTTGTTTTTTACCGTGTGCTGTTTTGCAGGACATTCGAAGAGGGTTAAAGACACCAACGGAGGACATTGTTGTGCAAAGACCACTGGTAAGTAGTTTGTCCTTAAAATATATTGCTAGTCTAATAAGTTCTGTTATTCTGGGATATTCACAAATCTGGTTTTTGCAAATAGACAAATAAATCCTGTAAAAACTGCGACCATCCAGAAGCCGAATATTACAGCTTGCAGGTTAGCAACCAATCCTTCAGCATTGGATGGCCACCCTTCCTGGTTTTATGTATTCAATTATTGCTCCTGACACTGGAAATTGCAGATGCGTTCAGCAGATGAGGGAGAGACGATATTCTACACGTGTACAAAATGCGGCCTTAACTTCAAAGAAGACTGAGGGACTTTTCAACCACTTCTACGGATATGGCATTGGTGCTAAAGAAATTTCGAGCGTTGACCTGACAAATGATGTTAAAATAGTAGTTGCAGTCTACTCCTTGACATTGTTACATGGATGCGCTGATCCATGCGTTGTGCCAAACTTCCTTTTTTTTTGTAACTGCCAAACTTCCTTTTGATGGAACCTGTTTTGTATTTTATTCGAGCGTGCACATGTCTGCCTAAAGCTTTCCAATCGCTATTGACCTGAGCTGCATTTTCGAACCGGTTCGTGGCCGTAGACGTTATTTGTCGGAGCCTTCTGTGTTAAGCTTGTTAGTTCTTCAGTATTCTAATTTCTAAACAAGAACAGCAAAATATCTAAGCTCGGGCTAGCCGGGTTAAATGTCTCATCCGTATTTAAGCGGGTGTCCATTCTAGTTCTTATATGCGGACCGTGGCCCGTGGGTGTCCATTGAGTTCCTGTATGACATGACACTGCTCTTGGCGATGCTAAAAAAACTATCTAGCCTACCCAGCTATAAGAGTTCGAGTTCTGTGAGTTTAATAAAGAACAGGTAGTGCGAAGAACAGGGTCGATCGTTTTCATCAACGACTAGTTGCATGCGACATGACACTGGACAAACCGTTGCGGTTCCAACTAGCTGTACTTAACATCTGTAGACAGCCGTTGGACTGTTACAGCCAGGAACTCGTATATAGATGGCCATCGAATTCTGAATTGCATAAAACGCTGGTAACGTTTGGTATCCTTATGTCGGTCGGTTAATATTCTTCTTATAATGTCCCTGATTCTGTTGGGACACTGGACACATTTAGCAAAATGCTATATTCCACGGCCATCAAAATGTTGTGATCAGTTCTGGCCGCAGGAAATCCAGCGGGCCACCAGCTTAACGAACCATCAACTATATGCCAGAATGGCAATTTTCTGAAACCCACCTACATCTTCAGGGGTTGTATTCTGAATACAGTAACCTTGACCAATCTCGGCAAACCCAAGGCTCATAATGGGACTACAATTAAAAAAGAAAAGAAAAGAAAAGGGCGTACCCAGTGCAAAGAGCTCCCGCTCTGTGCGGGGTCTGGAGAAGAGTGTTAGTGGTAAGCCTTACGCCCTTATCCTCGCCTGTGCAATGCGAGGAGACCACAACTCGAACCCGGGACCTTCCGATCACACGCGGTAAGACTCTACCACTTGCACCAGGCCCACCCTTCTAAAAAAAAGGAACAAAAAAGACAGCGCTCCTAGGTCTCATGCCAAATTTGTTCAAGGGTGATTCACTGATGATGGCATGGCAATTGTCATGAAAACAAGGTAACAGCAAAACTGTACTAGGCTCCGCGAGATGTAGGAACAGCCTCAATAAGAACAGACCATGCCTCACGCTTTGATCTGCAGAAGTGACAGACAGTAACAGCTATAACATTCTGAGAGATAGTCAAGTGCAAATAGAAGAGGTGATATAACAGTGAAGTGCCTACTTACATGTACAAGGCCTACATCACGCGAGCACCTTGTAGACTGTTTGATTACTCAAATGAGTCAATCAAAATTTAGATTGATTGCTACGTTTCTGTTCTTGGCGGTTGATCATCCTTCAATCCTTTGGTGAGCATATCGTAGTTGATGGAAGCAAGTTGTGATAGATTCTGCACCAAAAATGATGTCAGAGGAATGTTGTGGTACAATCTTCTAGGCAAGTTATCAATGGATAGCGACTTTGTTTCTCTCAAACTCGAAGATCTACGTATCATCATATTAAGAAGAAAGGATACTGCCTTTGTAGCATTCAAGATCTAGCTCACAGGTACTACAACTGCGGCAACATTGCAAATGTTGATATTTACTACTTGTGCAAATATAGACTTTTGCCTATTGCTGAGATGCAAAACAAAGAGAAGAGTGAAGTGGCTAAAGTTGAGAGGGAATCAAGTAAAAGCAGACTGCCTGCTCTATGATAATTTAATCTTGTAAATTGCCAAGCTTTGATTGCTGTCAAAGACATGATACGAAATCATAGCCCAGTATATCTACCTTGAACGAGAAGTTGCTGAAAGAATAATTGACATTTGCACTAGATTCAAACTCATTGAGGCCACCGCTGTCCTCCCCCTGGTACAAGATATATGGAACAGTTAGCAAAGGAACTTAAAAACAAAAAGCTAGATCAACTATGCACAATACAGTATTCTTTTTTACTTTTTTTTCTCTAAGACTCTAAGGTTAGTTTTTATTTGTTGTTCAGCAAATAAATAAGAAAATTACTCATACCATGTCATCTTGGCGGTTGCTCACACAACTACTGCTTCCACTAAGGCTTCCATTATCACTGGAATCCTCAAACTCGTATGCTTCATATATGTTTTCATCAGATGGATTCCAAGAATAGCGACTGGTGAAGTAGCTAGTATCAGATGCACTATCTGAGGAGGGAACAAAGGCAGCCTGCAAATGATTTTCTGTTATCCCTGGCATACATACAGAAACAATATGCACTACAAGTTTGAAGAGTTAGGTAAATTTTGCCCCTTCCTCACCTTCTGCCTAGCAAGGGTATCCCAGCTAATGTCTTTGAAAAACGGATGTTGTTTAACCTAAATGAAACAGGATTCCCGTCATGTCCATATCATTTAAAAAAAAAAGAATAACCAAGAAAGATGGTCTGTAGTGTCTTTAAAATACCTCTGAGGCACCATTTGCTCCTAGTCGTTGATGAGGATCTTCTGTCAATAATCTGGACAAAGTTGTTGTAAGATCTTCAGGTTAGTTTTATTTAATCATAGCAGAAATTAACTTGCTATAATAATTAGAAATTGGGTATGAACTAGATAAGTAGCACTGCAATTGAGATTTGTATTGTCGATAGCATATGCCTGTATTAACATACAACATCCGAACAAATATAAGGGAAAAGCCATAACTCTGAGGAAGAAACTAGAGTAATTTAAAACAACATGACACAACTGATGGGAGATAGCATATCCTATAACAGTTTGATGCTCTCATTCTCAGAATTTAATAGATAACATTGATCCAACCGCTAATAAAGTAATAGGCTAATAGTTCATTGATGATTTAATAATTAATATATGGAAGAACATATTTATGTTCTCTTTTAAGCATATTTAAATAGTTAATGAAGAATGTTGGATCAAATAACATTGGTAATATGTGTGGACTTTGAAGCCTGAATTGCTACACTAAGTTAAAAGGAATGCCACAAACAAAAAGAAAAATGATTAACTGCAAAAAAAAAGTAAAGAAAATGCAAATCAAACATGCAAAAAACATAATGTGATTAGCCTTAAACTGCGTGCACCATTAAGATACTTGCAAACGAGCATAATTATCTACTGAATAGACATTTGAACACAAGGGGCTATAACATGAAATCCAATATCACAAACAATTGAGTGCTGAAAAAAGGTTTGACATATTTCTTACTTGTCAATTAAATCTTGTGCATCAAAACTCATCTCTTCTGGAACATGCGGCCAAGGTATTTTGCAATTCAGAATATTGTCAAAAATTGTCTACAGAAACAAGTAGAAAATAACAATAATGTTAAGCTAATTCTAAACAAAGTTTTCAGATAATTGATCTACAGAGAAGTCTGATAGTATAATGGTGAATATTTGCTCCAATGGCCAATACACATTGATAATGAACACTTCTTTCCAGAAAATATCTAATGAGCCCTGATTGTCTGCAACTGTGTTAAACTGATAATTCAATGTTATGATTTATGACCATGTATGAGTTACAGGAAGATTGATAAACTAGCTGCAAACAATTATTCACTTAACATAATGTACAATACCTGGGGGTGTTCTGCATTGAACGGAGGTATGCCAACAATGAGCTCAAACAGAATGACACCAACAGACCACCAATCTGCACTGCAACCTAGGAGTATATACATAATAATAAAGTAGTTAGTATCAAATAGTAATAAAAATGAATAGGTATAGTGAGCCTAAAAACTGACTTTGCTCAGAATTTACCATGTCCTGTCCCCAAAAGGATTTCTGGTGCTAAATAATCAGGAGTTCCAACAGCAGAACGATTTTGTCTCCGTGCTCGGTGATCCATTTGCTCAAGTTCATTCATCTGAGGCTCATCATCTCCATACAGTGAAGCCCCACTAACAGCAGGACCAGACAGATCATCTGTGCTGTTGATCAAACCAACCTTGGACAATCCAAAATCTGTCAACTGGATAAATGAACATTAATAAGCAGCACACAGAGAAAACACACTAGTACAAGTAACCAAGTCAAATTAAGAACAAAAATGAATTTGCATGTCCATAGAAGTATAAAAGGAAAAGGATACTCCCTCCGTTCCAAATTATAAGTCGCTTTGACTTTTTTGATACATCGAATTTGCTATGTATCTAGACATAACATTGGTCTACATACATAGCAATTTCGATGTACCAAAAAAAGTCAAAGTGACTTATAATTTGGAAAAGAGGGAGTATTAAATTAGTGACATGAAAAATTGAACAGTAAAAGTAGTTCGTACTTGGCTTTTTTGTGAAATACAACAAAGTGCTGCTTTTCTTCAAGGAAAAAAATCTCCAAGAATAAGCATGGCCTTATATTCAGTATGTGAAGTTCAAAAAAAAAAACATATAGCATCATTCTAAACATCCATCATGATCTCTAAAAGTAAAAACAACTATCCTCAATAGTCACATGTTTTCTCCTGTTACAAATCTAGTACATGCTGTTCTGACAACTGCCAATAACTGTTATCATTGTTATAAAAAAAATGTTATCATTATGCATTTTGATTGCAAGAACTGAACATATCAAATTATACATCAAAAATATTCAACCAGACAGACAACAAACAAACAAACAAAATATAACAAGGAGAGAAGGTTTAATGAGCATGTGCATCTCTCTGAACCTTAATATGTCCATCATGGGCTATCAACAAATTGTCAGGCTTTAGATCTCTATGGACTATGTGCATAGAGTGCAAATATTCCAAAGCTAGTACCTGCAGAACAAACTGATCATGAGACCAAGGGAACGAAAAAGATGGAAAATTAATGGATACTACAAACTTACAACTTCCGCAAGATATACACGAGCAACATCTTCATCCAGGCACCCTAAATTCCTCAGTAATGAGTAAAGGTCCCCACCATTCAGGTACTCCATG